TAAGAGTTTGACTAATGTAACTATTAAGCATTTTGTCTTTATTTCTGAATCTTTTTTCAACTGTTTCCAATGCATTCCCAGATAACATTTCAGTCCAACAACTCTACTTCTAGAAACTAAAATGAAAAACCTTATAAAAATAAGTTTAAAGTTTTGACAAGGTGACAAAAGTACGTACATTTCAATTTAAGGATTTCAACTTCATTATTCTCCTAAAACATTAATTTATAGTTTAGAGGAGTAGTGTGGCCATTTTACAACCCTCTGAATTAAGTAAAACACTCAGAAATATTACATACATGGAGGCAGTTTAAATCCCTGTCAACTGTGAATCTAGGCGTCTAAGACAGTCACAGTGGAACAATACATTTGTTTTCAGACACACAAGTAACGCTACTCAGTTTCAGCTAAAAACAAATGGGGGTGAAGGCACCAGTGTCTGTCAGACCAGATTTGATTGCTGGATCATGGCTTAAGGGACAAAGCAGAGACAGACACGGAAGGCAATAAGATTAACTTTTTAGAATTTAGTTCCTGCCATTTTTCTGTGAGAGTTACAGATCCCATGGTACTTTCTAAGTGAAGGCAGACTGCTTTGATGTCTTTGCACATTGATTGCTGCTTTCCAGACAAAGAATTGTCTGTCTTTCAATGGCAAGGAATTCTCTACCTCTATGGATTACTTAATATGCGTTGGACTCTTTTGAGATTAAAATTATTATATAACACACAAATTATTTGCTGAAGAATTTGACTTTGACAGAGGTGGTCTTGGGGTTAAAGCATGGGGCTGAGACATGAATCTAGGTTCAAATGTTGGCAAAGCTTGAGTTAGGCACTGAGATTAACATAAGAACAGCCGTATTGGGTCAGACCAAAGGTCCATCTAGCCCAGTATCCTGTCTGCCAACAGTGGCCAGCATCAGGTGTCCCAGAGAGGGTGGACCGAAGACAACGATCAAGTGATTTGCCTCCTGCTATCCCTCTCCAGCCTCTGACAAACAGAGGCCAAGGACACCATTTTATCCCCTGGCTAATAGCCTTTTATGGACCTAACCTCCATGAAATTATCTAGCTTCTCTTTAAACTCTATTATAGTACTAGCCTTCACAGCCTCCTCTGGCAAGGAGTTCCACAGGTTGACTACACGCTGTGTGAAGAAGAACTTTCTTTTATTAGTTTTAAACCTGCTCCCCATTAATTTCATTTGGTGTCCTCTAGTTCTTCTATTATGGGAACTAATAAATAACTTTTCTTTATCGGCCCTCTCCACACCACTCATGATTTTATAGACCTCTATCATATCCCCCCTCAGTCTCCTCTTTTCTAAACTGAAAAGTCCCAGTCGCTTTAACCTCTCCTCATATGGGACCCGTTCCAAACCCCTAATCATTTTAGTTGCCCTTTTCTGAACCCTTTCCAAGGCCAAAATATCTTTTTTGAGGTGAGGAGACCACATCTGTACACAGTATTCAAGATGTGGGCGTACCATAGTTTTATACAGGGGCAGTAAGATATTCTGGGTCTTATTTTCTATCCCTTTCCTAATAATTCCTAACATCCTATTTGCCTTTTTGACCACCCAAATTAGCCCCCATCATACTGTACGTATAGTTGGGGTTATTTTTCCCGATGTGCATTACTTTACACTTATCCACATTAAATTTCATTTGCCATTTTGTTGCCCAATCACTCAGTTTGGTGAGATCTTCTTGGAGTCCCTCACAGTCTGCTTCTGTCTTGACTATCCTAAACAGTTTGGTATCATCTGCAAACAGATTCCTATGCCTGGGCTAGGCAATGGTAGATGCTGACCAAAAAGGTATGTATGAAGCACCATCCATCTCCTGGAGTGAGGTCATAAGCCCAAGCTTCAGGGAGAACCCTAGCTCTGCTAGTAGTTCTCAGCTACGCATGCTCTCCTAGAGTTAAGCACCTGTCCTATTTTAGCAAGAACCCATGGAAAAAGTATTCTTCCCTCATTATGCTAACCACCGGACTTAGAGGTCTCACTAGCAATATGCGACACCCCCCCCAGTTTAAGTCCCATCTCCACTTGGAGAGAAAGGATTGGAATGGAGATCTATTCCCAAGGGAGCTTTTACTGCAGTAATTTGGATGCTGAGTGAGCTCAGGCACTTATAGGCTTTAGTGGGAGACTGTGCATTGCAGTGTTTCCTAAACCGAGATTCGAGCATCAGCCCCTATTCCTTTTGTGAATCCAGGCCTTCAATTAAATTTTTCAAAGGCACTTGGTATTTGACAATTATGCTTCTTAGTGTTTTAAGGCACTTTTGGAGATGTAAGTTAGGCTACAAAATCATCCAGGCACTTTAGAGAAGGTGACCCTTAATCCCTCTCTGCTACACTGCAAAACAGAAATAATCGCTCTTTTCTCCCTCACAGGGATTCTGGGAGAACACATTCATTCATGTTTGGGAAGTGAGGTGAGGAGGGCTATATGAATATCTGGCTGGATAACCTCTATAAAGCACAGAAGTCAGACAAATATGAAGAGGTTTCTGAGGAAAAAAACAAGACTGCTTTAAAAAGGGGAAATGAAATGTAGTTACAATGCCAAGCACAACATAGTTTTGATAACCATGCACAGGACAATAAGAGCAATAGGAAAAGACATCCAGTGTCTTTATATTAGCCAGATGATGGATGCCTTCAAGTGAAATCAGTGGGTCCATGAGCAACAGATTTGCCACTATCAATACTATTATTTTCATACCAACCCTTTTCTAAAGTTTATCAATAAAACTAAAAGCTCAGGAGGAAAAAGAAAAGAAATCTTATTTTTCTGCTCTGCTGGAGATTGACAGTAATTGATCAGGTGACATCACAGCTGAAAGGGTCTACGCAGAAATATACTCTTGTAACTTTCTCTCAAGCACTTAGCAGCAGCAATGAAGGTGTTCCATACATCTAGGTGGAGAGTCTCATGAAAAAAAATTGAAGATCCACCCAGAATGCAGGGGGAGGAGGACACAAAGAACTCCTGCTCCAGTTCTCTTATGTAGGCAGGATTCCCTCTCCCAAGCATTCTATTAGACAAACAAGGGAAACTTTTTTTAAGAGAAGCAAGAACACAGAAGCTGAAAGGGACGGGGGAGAGAAATCAGCTATTAATATATTGAAAGTCAGGTTAAATCACTCAGCAAAACTGTAGTGCTCCATTCTACTCTTTCCACACCAGTCTCTCTCCAATAGGCAAGGGTCCAATGGCCACCCACCTCAAACCCACTCAGAGCCCAGACTTCTAAGAGTAGAACCCTCTGCAAGTTTGGCTTTGGTCTTCTTGAAGCTTCTTTCCAAGTTCTACAATGAGGTGCCACCACCTGGCCCAGACTTTTAACTCAGCTCAGTTTAAGTTCTAAGTGCTGGAGGATCTCACTGGTGTCACCTCTACTTTGCTACTGCTCCCTTGGTTTCTGTTGGGGAGGCCTCACTGAGCTGTATTCTCTCAAGGAGTCCTGTAGGTACCACAGAATCCTTAGCAGGTAGAAAACAAGAGCTTTCAGGACAATAGCTCAGAGTCCTTGCTAACTGGAGATGACCTGCTCATTGTAAACAGAAAGTTCTTCCCCTTTTAGAGTTCACACTTTACCTCTCTAACAAAGACCAAGTCCAGTACATTTTTGGGACTTTGAAGAGCAACTGATGGATTTGTGGGTAAGAAAGACAGGTCAGTGATGCTGCTGATAGCAACTTATTTACCTTTCTACCAACAGAACAAGCAAAGAGCTCCTATAACTTAAACTATATTTTGAGGTTTGAATGTATAAAGAACCTATTGAACATCAGCAAAATAGGAGCAAAAGGTGTGGCAATGGGCTATTCAAGCAAACACTTATTGTCACCTCATATTTCCAGTGTGCTTTATCTACTTCCCTTCTATCTCACAAAACCAGAATTAAATTCTAGGGCACATGAATATCAGTTATTCCATGCATTTGTTATACATTAAAACAATCTATCATCAATTAAAAGTAATATGAACCGATGAACCTAGAGAAAATAAATCTAATGTGGTTATGAAATAAAGTTTCATAACAGATATGTTCATTATTCATGTACTATCCTGCTGTCAAAGATCCCATGCACATACGGATTTATTGCAGCTTTCCTGGAAACTACAATTGAACAAACATACTGTATGAACAAACTGTTCACACAGCTGTTTCAAATCAATTAATCTCAACATAAGCAGTTCTTGGACCAGATCAATATTGCTTCAAGTGAATCCTTACTCAGATCATGTTCAAACAGAGAAGCCTTAGCTAGAAAAGCAAAGACTGAAGATTGGATTTGCCAACAGTTTTTGCAGCCCACTGGAGACTAAAGAAAATCTCAATCTATTTAGAGCACTCAAACTGGGGAACTTTTACATTATTGCTCACATTATCTAAACCCCTGGGGTATAATGTTGAGAAATATGGGAATTAATGATGATAATATTCAAAAGATGACAGACAATAGTGTAAATTTAATTAAGAATGCTTCCTTTAGTTTGTAAAACAGGACCAGTGATGAAGTAAGGCCATGGGATACTGGGGAAGTATTTCTTCCTTTCCATTGATCATGTAGCAGTATTATCAATGCTCTGTTGGAAAAATCTTGCAGGGAAGAATTCAGAGGGGACAAATACTCTTGAGTTTCAACTCAAAATTCCCTGCACATTGTGGCATCAGGGACTCAATGTTTCTCTCTAAACCCACAAATGTTCTATCCCAAGAGCCACACAGACTTGAACAAACCTAAAATGGAACACTTGTCTACATTAGCAAACCTCAGGCCCCTGATGCTGCCTATTCACTGGAAGCATGTGTGTGTGACTGCCCCATAGATCTCCTCCTCTGGAGCCAGTGCATCTGTACCCAAGTCCTGGGGACCGGGAGCATTCCCCCGCCCCGGGATGGGGGTCCCGTGGGCTTGCAGCCCCTTTTGCCCCATGCGCGCCCCCCCCACCCCCGCCCCCGCCAGCCTCTGTCTACCTTTTGGCTGCTCCTGCAGCATGGGCCCTCAGTCCTGGCAGCTTGCGTCCGCGTTCCTGGGGAGACCCTTTGGAGGTCCGGTGTCCGTCCAGTTGTCCTCCTCCTAAGGCTGCAGTCCACCCCGGCCTCCGTGGTCCGCTGCCCAGGCAATCAGGTCATCTCCCGGTGCTCGGGTCCCCTGGCTCCGCATCCCTGGTGTGGTCACCACTTCCTCAGTCTGCGGGGGGCAGAGGAGGTGGTTGAAAGCAACACCAGACCCTGCTGTCTTCCCCCCCACACACTTTTTCCTCCTCCCTTCTGCCCTTATCTGCTCCCTCCCAGCGTACCCCCGCCCACATCCCGCTCTGCCCAGCATCCCCGGGTCCTAATGCCTGCTGGCTTGACCCCGGGGCAGGGTGCGCATGCGTGGCATCCCCGGGCGCGTTCTCTTGCCCTGCACCAGCTGCTCCACCCACGCCGCAGCCCACTGGCTCCAGGCCGCTGTCAATGTGGGGGTTGGATCCCCCGTCACAACATCCCCACCAATTAGAAAAGGCCAGTGAGAGAGGGGTTTGGGCTGGCCTAACTGTGTGTTTGGCTGCTCAAGTTGTGCTGATTCACTACAGGTAGCACACATCCCCCGGGAGATATTAACTACAGGTTGAACCTCTGAAAACTGGCACTCTATAGTCTGGATTATGGATGCCCCTGGACCAGAGAGTCCAGGAGACTTATGTAGGAGGGCAAGCAGCCCAGCCAGGGGCAGCGGGGCCAGGGCTGCAAAAGTGCTGGGGCCGGGCCAGAAAACACCCGCAGACCACAGCAGTGAGGGGCCAGCATGGTGTCAGGGACTAAAGAAGCCTGTCTGCCTTTGGAAGTGTGGGGCTGAGAACTCTGGCAACCCACAAGAGTGCAGAAGTCCGCAGCAGCACAGGGGCAAGGAAACATGGCAGCATGGGGCTAGGGGCTGGAGAACTCCAGATGCCCATGGCAGCCTGGGGTTGGGGGATCAGCAGAGCAAACAGCCTGTCTGAGGAGGGTGTAGACGGAGCCAGAGGCAGGAGGCTGGCTGGCTTGGGGACGGCTGGCTCGGGGCAGAGGACACCACCCCTGGTCCAGAAAATTCTCTCATTCGGGACTGGTCAGATCCTAGCGGTACCAGACCAGGGAGGTCCAATCTGTAGAATCATTGTGGCCTGATTCTGTACCACTGAATCAATGGGAGTTGTGTCTTTTCTTAGCATTTCCATATTTAATGAAGTTTTGTAAGTACACTGAATGTAGAAAATGTGCAATACTGATTTTGAAATGTATTAGATCAGCACTACAGTAATATATGCCTCTCTGGTACACACATTTCTTAAATAATACCTTTATTCTCACTCTGCTGTTTGTACTGTACACACAAACACACAAAAAAAACTTTAGTGGCCTGGTTTTACATGTATCTCATTTTCTAGATCCGTCAGGCTCCTGTTTTATCCTAACCAACAATGAATGGAAGATGAATTTGAACCATTAATATCATCTCTCTCTCTCTTTTTTTTTTTTTTTATAATACAGGAAAGTATTTATAGTTCTCTTCATCTATTGAGCAAGTATAAAAGAAGCTGCTGCTCACCGAGTTTGGTAAATTCCACTAAAATGGAGTTTGCTTATGCAAAAGTCTTTTACAAATACAAAGCATGTACCAAAAAGCAAAAATATTGCCACAGGAAAAAAATTGACTGTGAAATCCTTAATGTACATCACATCCACTGCCTCAAGGATGGCTGTCCGGGCCCTGAAATCTAGCCACAAGACAGCAATCAAACCTGCAGTCAAAAGGAAGGCAAATACCATCATAGTTCTCAATGACAAAGATTATGTGACAAAACCAGCTGATGACTCTCTGACAATCTTCTATAAAGGACTCAGGGACAAGACAACCCCACCCCGCCGTTCTCCCCAGAATTTAAGGATAACCTCAAATCTTTCCTCACACAACCCCAAGAAAAACTCTATAACCTTATCCCCCATGAATTCACCTCAGGACTTTGTATCCTTTCTAAGATACACAAATAAGGGAACCCAGGCAGACCCATCACATCTGGCCAAGGCACTCCTGCCAAAGAAATATTGGGATCCCTAAAAACCATCCTCAAACCACTCACCACACAAAGGGCCAGCTTCCTCCTGGATGCAACTGATTTCCTCTAGAAACTCCACTTCATTAGATGCATGGAGTGAAAGAAAAAGAAACAGATAGGAGGGATACAAAGACGGGAGTCTTACCTCAGAGCCAACTCAACCAGGCTGGATGCTGATAACTAAAGTGGAAAATTACTTTTTGTAATGAGAGCCATTTCAAGCCCCTATTCAGACCCATTCTGATGTCAAATTTGCATCTGAATTCCAGCTCATCAGTTCACATGGCTGATTTTGAAGTTTTCCAGCTTTCAAGTCTGTAACTGTGAGTCCAGGAAGGCTAAAATATTCTCCCACTGGTTTTTGTATGCTACCATTCTTGATGACTGATTTTTGTCCGTTTATTTTGTTACATAGAGACAGTCTAGTTTGTCCAATGTACGTGGCAGATCTGCCACATAAAATTCTCAGTCTTTAAGGTGCCATTGGACGCTTCAGAGGAGAAAGTGCAGAGTATATACCTTACCATGCTTAAAACTGCCTTCACCAAACTATTTGTTTTCACCAAACTAGAGACTCTATCAAAGAAACAGATCACGTCATAGAACAGTGAGAACCTGTTTCAATCCTGGGGAAAAAATACCCTCTGACCAAATCTCATATTGTCACCTCTCACCCCATCTGGGAACTCGCATAGGATATTATTGAACAGTTACAGCTCTACTTGATGGAGACCGCTTCCTGAAAGACATCTTTCCCCTGTCTCCCTCTCTGGCCTTCAGATAAACACACCAAACTTATCATCAGAAGTCAGCTTCCCCCTGACAAGGACACATCAACTCAAAGGGGCACCAAACTCTGCCAGATCAACAGATGCAAAACCCGAAGACTTATCTCTGCTACCGATGATTAATAACCCTACCCCAGCCCACAATGGCTACATCCAGACTGCAGGCTTCTTTCAGAAGAAGCTTTTCCAGAAGAGATTCTCTGGAAAAATCATGGATGGGATCCTCAGGGAATCCATTCTGAAGCACTAGGAAGAGGGGAAAGTGATCAGGAATAGTCAACATGGATTCACCAAGGACAAGTCATACCTGACCAATCTGATTAGCTTCTATGATGAGGTAACTGGCTCTGTGGCTATGGGAAAGTCAGTGGATGTGATATACCTTGACTTTAGCAAAGCTTCTGATACAGTCTCCCACAATATTCTTGCCAGCAAGTTAAGGGAATATGGATTGGATAAATGGACTGTAAAATGGACAGAAAGCTGGCTAGACCGTCGCGCCCAACGGGTAGTGATCAACGGCTTGATGTCAGGTTGGCGGTCGGTTTCTAGCAGAGTGCCCCAAGGATCCATTCTTGGACTGGTTTTGTTCAATATCTTTATTAATGACCTGGATGAGGAGATGGATTGCACCCTCAGCAAGTTTGCAGATGACACTAAGCTAGGGGGAGAGGTAGATACGCTGGAGGGCAAGGATAGGGTCCAGAGTGACCTGGAAGATTAGAGGATTGGGCCAAAAGAAATCTGATGAGGTTCAACAAGGACAAGGAATCCCAAGCACTACTACAGGCTGGGGACCAAAAGGCTAAGCAGCAGTTCAACAGAAAAGGACCTGGGGATAACAGTGGATGAAATGCTGGATATGAGTCAATAGTGTGCCTTTGTAGACAAGAAGGGTAAAGGCATATTGGGATGCGTTAGGAGGAGCACTGGCAACAGATCCAGAGAAGTTATTATTCCCCTTTATTCGGCTCTGGTGAGGCCACATCTAGAATATTATGCCCAGTTCTGGGCCCCCCACTATAGAAAGGATATAGACGCATTGGAGAGGATCCAGGGGAGGGCGACCAAAATGATTAGGGGGCTGGAGCGCATGACCTATGAGGACAAACTGAGGGATTTGGGTTTGTTTAGTCTGCAGAAGAGAAGAGTGAGGGGGGATTTGATAGTAGCCTTCAACTTCCTGAAGGGAGGTTCCAAAGAGGATGGAAAAATGCTGTTCACAGTAGTGACGGATGGCAGAACAAGGAGCAATGGTCTCAAGTTACAGTGAGAGAGGTCTAGGTTGGATATAAGGGAAAACTATTTCACTAGGAGGGTGGTGAAGCACTGCAATGGGGTACCTAGGGAGGTGGTGGCATCTCCATCCCTAGAGGTTTTTAAGAGGTTTTTAGGATTATTCTAAGAGGGGTGGGCGAGGTTCTGTGGCCTGCACTGTGCAGGGGGTCAGACTAGATGATCATAATGGTCCCTTCTGACCTTAAAGTCTATGAGTCTATGAGTCTATAAGTCTCGGCTTGATAAAGCCCTGGCTGGATTGATTTAGTTGGTATTGGTCCTGCCTTGGACAGGGGGCTGGACTTGATGACCTCCTGAGGTCTCTTCCAGCTCTATGGTTCTAAGAGATCTTCTGAAAAAACTTCTTCCGAAAGAGAGCATCCACACTGCCAAAGTGCATCGAAAAAGCGATCTGCTTTTTCGAAAGACAGAGTCCACACTGAATGGACGCCATCTCACATTTAAGTTGTGATTACTATGGATGGAGTGGCCACCAGGGCACTTGTGCTTTTTTCTCTTTCCTCTTCTTTCAAAAGAACTCCCTCTTCCCCGTCCACACATGCTTTTTTCTGAAAGAGCTCTTTCAGAAAAAGGCTTCTTCCTCATAGAAAGAGGTTTACCAATGTCGGGAAAACACCTGTTCTTTCCATTTTTTTTTTCCTGAAAACGCGATTGCAGTGTGGACGTAAGTGATTTTTTTTTTAAAGAAAAACAGCTGTTTTTCCAAAAAAACTTCTGTAGTGTAGACATAGCCAATATATCTTTTAAGATCCCTGGATCCTACATATGTCTATTGCAACAAGTGTTATCTGCCTCATCCTGTGCACTAAATGACCCCCAATAACAACTATGCAGGTGAAACAAGACAGTCACTGTGCATTTGAATGAACTTACATTAAAAAAAAGTGAGGACAAAAGCCACCACTCATTTTCCAAATCATTAATAAAAATACTGAATAGTATGGAGACCCAGGAATGACCCCTCAAGCCATTATTAGATATGCCTTCCCTGTTTGAAAGTGAACTATCACTAACCACTCTGAGAATGGCCTTTCAGCCATTTTTTGCATTTACGTTTATAGTAATTTCATGGAGACCACTGTTATGTTGTGGGGAGTTTCACAGTATAGGAAGAAATCAGTGGAAATGCAGAGAGCTGGAGTAACTGCAAGTGTCCATTTTATTGCATAGCACAGAACTAACTAAGCCCAGACTAGCTGGGCTGACCCCAGTGACCTACTCAGATCTATATCTACAACCCAATATACAACATATTGCTCCCCCCCTTAATAAAAAAGTCCCTTTAAGGAAACAAAAACTAACTATGAAATGAGGGTAGACCACCTCAAGTTCCCAGCTAACCCTGGGGATTATTTTGCCCCATCTGTGAGTTAATCTCAATTGAAGGTCCAGCCGTTGAGGAGGCCTCCTTTCTCTAAGTAGATTACGACGGACATCCGGCATTCTCGCACCCGAAGATGTTATGGGTGCAGGCCTGACATGGGGCTGGGAACTTGAAATGTGAAAAGGTGAGGCTGTTGAATCAGCCTGCTCAGGGAGGGGGTTATTGTTCGCTGCTAGTGGTGATGGAGGAGGAGAGTCAGGAGCAGGTGATTCTTGACACGGTAGCTCACCAGCAGTGGGAAGGATGGGCAACTCAACTGGAGATGTGCCTTGGGGGCAGGAATAACCTGTCAATAACTGATCTACATGCCGCCACCAGATGAGATCCTTCACAGTCCGGACAGTATAGGAAACAGGTCCTGTTTGAGCAATAATAGTGGCAGGGACCCATTTAGCTCCAGGAGCATAGTTCCGAGCCAAACTGTCTGTCCAGGACTAGCGGTTCGATCTTTTGCTCTGGATGCACACCTGATGACTTGACCTGGCTACTGATGTTGCACAATTTGTCACAGTTCTGAAGGTTTCAGCAAATCAAAGCACATGCGTAGCTGATGTCCCATCATTAGAAAAGCTGGGGACACTTTGGTTGTAGCATGAGGAGTGTTTCTGTAGGATACCAAGAAGGTGTCCAGACTCTTTTGTACGAGTGAATGTTCTCTAACTGATTTCAAAGCTTGTTTCATTGTCTGGACAAACCTCTCAGCCAATCCATTTGTGGCTGGGTGATATGGTGCTGAAGTGATGTGATGGATCCCGTTTGCTTTCATAAAATTTCCAAACTCCTGAGAGACAAACTGTGGACCGTTGTCGCTCACAAGTTGTTCAGGAATACCCAAATGACAGAAGATTCCCCGTAATTTTTGGATAGTACTCTCAGCAGTAGTGGAAGGCATTATACAGACTTCTGGCCATCTGAAATGAGCATCTACCACCACCAATAACATGCTACCTTCAAATGGGCCAGCAAAATCAACATGAATACGTTGCCATGGTTTTTCAGGCCAGTCCCATGGGTGTAGAGGTGCCAATTGAGGTGCATTCCTCACACCCTGGCAAGAAATACAAGCTCTTGCCTTCTCTTCAATGTCACTGTCCAACCCAGGCCACCAAAAATAGCTTCGTGCAATTTCTTTCATGTGCACCATTCCAGTGTGACCTGAATGCAACTGCTCTAACATCTGTTGTCTCAGTATTTTTGGAATAATGACACGCATTCCCCACAGCAAGCACCCTGAACGGTTTATAACTCCGTTCTCCTGGACATGTAGGGGACAGGGTCAGATGAGACCTGAGAGTTCCATACAGATGTTCCACGCATCACTAGTTCCATTACTTGGCACAGTACTGGGTCAACACAAGTTGCTCTCTTAATTTGTGCAGCAGTGACGGGCATGTTCTTCACCTGTTCAAAATAAGAGATTTCCTTCTGGCCACTATCTTGATGTTTGCCTGGCAAAGGGCAGCCTAGAGAGAGCATCTGCATTTCCATGTAGAGTGGCTTTCTGATATCTGATCTCATATGTGTGTCCTGAAAGCCACAATGTCCATCATTGTATACGACTAGTAGCCATTGGTGGAATACCTGAGTGTGGACCAAAAATTGCCGTCAGAGGTCGATGGTCAGTGAGAAGTGTAAACTTCCATCCAAACAGGTACTGGTGAAATTTCCGAATTCCAAAAACGATTCCCAACGCTTCACGTTCAATTTGCGCATAGTTAGTTTCAGCCTTGCTTAAGGTGCACAAAGCAAAAGCAATTGGTTTCTCCCCTCCTGAAGGCATAACATGTGACAAGTCCGCTCCCTCTCCATATGGGGAGGTATCACAAGCCAACTGTAAAGGTAAGGATGGATCAAAATGTGTCAGGACCTCTGCGTTTAGCAATGCACATTTAGTCTTGTTAAGTGCAACATCAAAGGCGTCAGTCCACTTCCAGACCTTGTTCTGGCCAAGGAGCTCGTGAAGTGGTTTTAATAGTGTGGCTAGCTGTGAAATAAGCCTTCCATAATAGTTCAATAGTCCTAGAAATGAGCAAAGTTGACTAACATTTTGAGGGAGGGGAGCTTCCACAATAGCCTTAACTTTTGAAGGGGACTTATGAAGACCAGTAGCATCAATGATGTGTCCCAAATATTCAACAGAGGGCTGAAAGAATGCACACTTATCTTTACGGTCTCGTAGGCCATATTCTTCCAGTCTTTGTAAGGTAGCCTCTAAGTTCTTAAGGGGATCCTCCTCATTCCCACCTGTGACCAGGCTGTTGTCAAGATAGCACTGATCTCCTGGCAAGCCACACAAGATCTGGTCCATAGCTCTCTGGAACAAGGCCGGGGCAGTAGTTATTCTGAAGGGTAAGCGACAGTAACGATAAAGCCCTTTATGAGTCACAATAGTCAACAGCTCTTGGGATTCTTCATCAACTTGCATCTGTAAATATGCTTAAATCAGATCAATCTTGCTGAACTTTTATCCCCCAGCCAGGCCTGCAAAGATGTCATCGATACAAGGAAGGGGGTATTGCTCTGCACATAAAACAGGGTTAACAGTGACCTTAAAATCCCCACAAATCTGAATAGAACCGTCTTTCTTCAACATTGAAACTATTGGCGTTGCCCATTGACTATGGGTAACTGGTATTAGGACTCCATTTTTGAGTAGGCGTTCCAGGTCTGCTTCAACTTTTGGCCTGATAGCATATGGCACAGTTCTGGCCTTCAGATATTTTGGTTGGCTACCAGGTTTAATGTTCAGTTTCACAGTGATTCCCCTCATACTTCCCAGATCCTCTCCAAAAACAGCAGCCTGTTTCTTTAATATATCAGTCAGACCTGTTTCTTCTTTAGTCATCCGGTGCACTTCTGCCCCGTCCAGTGGGATCTTCCTAAGCCATGATCTCCTCATTAAGGCTGGGTAATGGCCTTTCACCACAAACAGTGGTAATTCTGCAGTCTGTCCATTAAGTTCAACCTTAACATCAGTAGTGCCCAATAGAGGTACTGCTTCTCCTGTATATGTCTTCAGAATGATCTTTGTTGCCTTAAGTGGAAGATGCTTCAACTTTTCCTTATACATCGTGTCTGAGACCAATGAAACTGCTGCACCAGTGTCCACCTCCATGCATACCGGTTTGCCATCCAACAGTGGGCTTACCCAGTGTTCCTGGGAGCCCCCTTCCAAAGACAAAACATAGCATGGCACCACTTCTTCAGACAGGGTGTCACTTTGATTATCAGGCATCTGCTCGATGGTATGCAGATTTTCCTTTTTGTTCTGCCAGATCACAGGCCTCTTTTTCTTTTGTTTGCAGGCACGCTCAAGGTGTCCTTTTTCCCCCCCACAATGTCAACACACTAGGGCTGTGTCCAGACTCAGGGGTTTTTCCGAAAAAAGTAGCCTTTTTTCGAAAAAAACTTCACCTGCATCTAGACTGCAGCCGCGTTCTTTCGAAATTAAATCAAAAGAATGCGGCTTTTCTTTCGACGGTGGTAAACCTAATTCCACGAGGAAGAACGCCTTCTTTCGAAAGAGCACTTTCGAAAAAAGGCGTTCTTGAAAGCAAACAGGCTTTTTAGAAAGAGAGCATCCAGACTCACTGGGTGCTTTCTTTCGAAAAAGCGGCTTGCTTTTTCGAAAGTTCCGCGTGCAGTCTAGACGCTCTCTTTCGAAAGAGGCTTGCAGTCTAGACATAGCCTAGGTTCTTACACCAGCATTCTGATGCATGGTGACCTGTCTTACCACAGCAGTAACATTCCTGACTCCCCACTGTTTTGTGAGTAGGATCTTGGGACATTTTATGCACCCCAGGGGGTGCACTAAGGCATTGTGCCTCCTGTGTGGCCAGTTCCATGGACACTGCAATATCAATGGCCTTCTGTAGGGTGAGCTGAGCTTCGGTTAACAGACACCTCCGTATAGCTTCACTGTGCAGGCCACAAACTAACTTGTCAGGTATGGCATCATTTAACATCTTTTTAAATTCACAGTGTTCAGCAAGCTTTTTCAAATTGGCTACAAATTGTAGAATTGTTTCACTTTCTTTTTGGTCTCTGTTATGGAACCTATACCTTTCTGCAATTACCAATGGTTTTGGAGCATAATGTGACCCCAGGATTTCCACAGTGTCACTGTAAGATTTGGTCTCTGGCTTAACAGGGAGCAGCAAACTGCGTAGCAGAGAGCAGGTCTTAGCCCCTACAACACTTAAAAATATTGACACCTTCTTTTCTTCTTTAATGTCATTTGCAATAACAAAAAGTTCAAAATGCTCAGTATATACGTGCCGTTGCTCTACAGTCTCCTCAAAAGGTCCCAGTGGCCCTGTAAGTGTTGCCATGGCTGTTGCACTCTCCCCCCACTTTCTCCCCCCCTTTTCAGTCTCTGGGCTCCTTGATCTTAGTTTCAGTTTGCACAGTATAGCAGTCAGTTCTCACCCCTACCTTCCAGAACAGCCAAAAAAAGTTGGTTTTCTTACACTGACTTCTACTTCTTTTGTTGCTGAAGGCAGCACAGGTATCCCATCCTCATCGCCACTTGTTATGCTGTGGGGAGTTTCACAGCATAGGAAGGAATCAGTGGAAATGCAGAGAGCTGGAGTAGCTGCAAGTGTCCATTTTATTGCATAGCACAGAACTAACTAGAATAAGCCCGGACTAGCTGGGCTGACCCCAGTGACCTACTCAGTTACTATAATAACAAGATCTATATCTACAACATTTCCCTAGTCTGCTTATGAGAATATCATGTGTGACTATGTTAAAATCTTTATTAAAAATCAAAATACATCCCATCTGAGGCTTACCCCCATGCACTAGGCCAGTAACTTTGTCAAAGAATTTGTCATCTATTACCTGTAGTTCCTCATTTTAATCTTTCTGGATTGTTTGTATTGTTTCTCTTTGCATTGTTTCTGTTTTTACTCCCATCCAATCCTATTGAAAATATTTATTCCTAAAAATCTGCTTTACCTGCAGAATTGAAGTAACCTACTGGGAGGCAGACTGAAAGTAGCATTTTTGAGACCATCTATTGCATGTTTTAAAAAAATATCCAAATATGTTATTCCAGTGACTTTACTATATTCCACTAATTTGTAAAAGTGTTACTGTCAAGCTGATAAGGCCTCCAACAGGGTGTCAGAAGACCCGGACTTTATTGCCAATTCTTCCATTTATTTGATGTATAATTCTGGGTAAGAGACTTGGTTTCCTTCTATTTCACCATATTTATAATGAGGCTAATGATGCCTTACTGTTAAGTGTTTTGAGATCCCTAGATTAAAATCACAATGATATTTGTATTGAAAGTGGATGATCAAATATTTCACAGTTTATTAGTAACCAATTAGGTTAATTATGCAAAGTCAACTGGGAATAAGCATTTTTAAATTAAGAGGCCCATATAACTTCCACCCAAGAGTTCTATAAGAACTAGCTAAGGAGATCTCTGTGAATATATTTCAATATTTTAAAAACAATGAAAATTCCAGAAAACTGGAAGAGTGCTAACATTGTGCCAATATTTAAATAGAGGGCAAGTGAGATGACCCAGGTAACTATAGGTTGGTTATCCAGCATAAATCCTGGGGGGGAGTGGGGGAATGAAAAAAATCCAATGAGAGACTTGTTATGGGTGTATCAGGCCTTCTTTTAGCCTACTGGAGATGTTGGTATCTGACACCTCCCTAATTAAGGAAAACTTGCTTAGGCCAAGCTATTGTAATTGACTTAGTCCTCCAGAGGATTAAATTAATAAGAACTCAAGGACTGAAATATAATTAAATGCCTGTCATCGTCAAACCAAACTTCATTCTTTGAGGAGATTACAAGTTTTCATAATAAAGATAACTTTCTATGCCTTCATTGCCCTATCTGTAAAATGGGGATAATGAGACTGATCTCCTTGAGATCTACTGGAGAGGGGCTACCTGGGCTCTAGATGGCATTATTATTGCAGCCAAATGCGTAGTTGTACATCTAGGAACAAGAAATGCAGGCTGGCATACAGAATGGAGGAAGAAAGAAGTGTCTTTAAAAAAGATCTAGGGGATATTGTGGACAAGCAACTTTACATGAGCACTCTATCGAAGAGCTAAAGTGATCCTTAGATGCATAAACCAATGACTAGGGAAGATGATTTTCTCTCTCTCAAAAGGGGCATCAGGGAGGCCAGTATCGGCATGCTACATGCAATTCTGGTGCCAACAATATAAGAAGAATATTGAAAAACTAGAGAGGGTGCAGAAAAGAGCCACCAAAGTGGGTTGAGGGCTAGAGAAAATGTTTTAGACTGTGAGACTTTATGAGCTCCATATGTTCAGTTTATCAGAAATAAGAGGGAGAGGAGACTTGAATACCTTCACAAGGCAAATACACTCAACAGTAACAGGCTCTTTAATCTAGCCAAGATGACATCACAAGAACCAGTGACTGGACACTGAACCCCAACAAATTTGAACTGGAAAGAAGGTGCAAACTTAACAATGATGGTGATA